GCTCAGGGTAGGCAAATACAGTCCATTTGACCAGTTGGTGGGGACTTCCTGAAGAGCTGTGTTGATGAGGATTCATCCATTCATTCCACAAATAATTACTGAGCACCTACTATATGTCAGGCACTATTTAGATGCTGGAGATTTAGCTGTGAACAAAAAAGACAAAATTCCCTGCCCTTGTGGCATGGATTTCTCCAGCGGTGCTGGCCAATGGAAATACAGAGGGAGCCAAAAAAAAATGTATACACATTTCAAGAAAGGAAAAACTGTATTAAAATTGTAATACACAATATATACCGATAACAAAAGATAGTCATGTGTATAGGTGGTCTGACAATTAAGTTCGCGAACTTGTTGCAATGATGTTGCTAACCTTTTTTGATATCAGAGGGATTATTCATTATGAATTTGTACCAACTGGACAAACAGCTAACCAAGTTTACTATTTGGAAGTGCTGAAAAGGCTGCATGAAAAAGTTAGACGACCTGAACTTTTCGCCAACAATTCATGGCTCTTGCATCACAACAATGCAGCAGCTCACACGGCACTGTCTGTGAGGGAGTTTTGAGCCAGTAAACAAATAACTGTATTGGAATACCCTCCCTACTCACCTGATCTGGCCCTCAAATGACTTCTTTCTTTACCCAAAGATAAAGGAAATACTAAAAGGAAAACATTTTGATGACATTCAGGACATCAAGGGTTATACAATGACAGCTCTGATGGCCATTCCAGAAAAAGAGTTCCAAAATTGCTTTGAAGCATGGACTAGGTGCTGGAGTCAGTGCATAGCTTCCCAAGGGGGTACTTCGAAGGTGACTGTAGTGATATTCAGCAATAAGGTCTATAGCACTTTTTCTAAGATGAGTTCGCAAATTAATTGCCCGAACTCATACTTTTTTTGGCACCGTGGTATATGTGAGGCACACAGATCATTCAAAATTTTCTAGTAGCCACATTAAATAGAAGTGAAAAGAAACAAGTGAGATTAACTTTTACAATATTTAACCCAATATATCTAAAACATTTTCATTTCTATGTGTAATCAATATAGTAATTTATTAATAAGATAAACTATTTTTTTCATATTACAGCTTCAAAGTCCAGTACATCTTATACTTACAGCACACCTCACTTCAGATGAGCAGCGTTTGAAGTGCTTAGTAACCCTTGGAGAAGACATCACTCCCCTGAGCTCAGGAGAACAGAATGCACAATTGATTAGTGATGTCTGCTACAGGCATGGGCAATCTGAGAGCCCAATAAAGTTGTAGGTCATGAGTTTGCCCAACACCAAGCATGTGTGCACTTCTACCGAAACTCTTTTGAACACATTAATTTTGCTCAACCTGAAAAAATTGCCAGTCTGACTTCTGGGATTTGAATCAGGCATGGTCCAGCCATTCTGGCCTTTGCACCATCCTGCAGAAAGTCACCAGCACACTAAGAGGGCAAGTGCTTCATGGGTGTGGTCCTGTGTTCTTTCCTTCACCCTGGGAATGTGGGCTTTGTTTTTGTTTTTCTCCCAAGGCCTCTTCCTCCCAGAGTTAACCAATAACAACATAAAAGTGTTTCCTGAGCCTAAAGTTAGCCTTTCCAGCCAGCCCCATTCCACCATCCCACATCCGCAGACCTCCTGGCCAGAACCCTGGCTGGGATAATCCAGCCCAAATTCTCCACTTGCTTTTCCAGACAATGAGGATAAAAGGGAGTTCTGCAGGCAGCCGGAAGTGCCTGGGGATGGGGGAGGGGTGAGCTTGGAGCGAGGCTGGCAGGGATGAGGTATGACAAGAGCTAGATCTCAGGCGCCATCATCCTTATTATCATTATCACCACCATCACCCCCCCACCCCCCACCCGCTGCTCAGGACTCTTCAATGGCTCCCTAGAACCTGCAGGATAAAAAGATCTAGGGCCGCAGTTCCCAGGAGCTGACACAGACAGACGTGTCAGTCGCACTTCCAGATACTCTCCCCTCTTTCATCATATTCATTCATTCAACAAGAATGTGTTGCAGGCACTGTTCTCTGTGCTAGAGATGCAGCTGCGACCAAACTGACAAGCATCTCCGCCATCCTCCAGCTCACACTGCTCCGGCCAAGCCCTAACACCGCAGGCCCTCACATACCTCCAGACCCTGGCAATGCTGGGCCCTTTGCTGTTTCAGCGAATTCTCCACCTGGGAATTTCTACCCACCCTGCAAGGTCCACCAAAGCTTTCTCTCACCCACCCCCCAGAGGTTGGGTACCCTCACACCTAGGATCGCCACACGAATGATCGCCATCCAGCCCCACATCTGCCCCCACCACCACCAGGCTGTGAAAGTCTTGAGGGCAGGGCTGTGCTTGCCCTTGCTGGAACCCCAGGGCATGAATCCAAGTGCATCAGCCCTAAAGCTCCATCTCCTCCCCCCAGCTCAGGACTGAGCTGGAGAGACATGGGTGTGGGCGGCAGGGTCCAGGACTCCTCTGAAGAATTTGAGGTCATTCTGGAACCTTTCCCTGGGATCATCCTACTCCTGGCATTCCAGGGGAAAGAGTCACAGAACAATGGCACAGTGTTTCTCGCAAAGCTAGGTGGAGGAGTGAGGGGAGGCAGCAGAGAGAAGTCGGGGTGCGCAGGGCTGCCATTGCTGCGTCAGGACATCAGGTCTACAGGTGGAGGGAGCTGTTGAAAGGCTCCACACAGTGGGGAGAGAGAGAGAAGGCAGTGGCCTTCCCCCAAGGGAGCTAAGGTGGCAGGACGTGGACCTACGCGAGGTAAACCTCAGTGGCCCTTTAGATTTATGAGGGGAAGGGAGACATAAAAGAGGCTCCCAGTCCCTGACGACTTGCTCATGAGGGCTGAGCTTTAATTTCTCACAGTGTTGCTCCTTTTGCACACCCACTCCTCCTCTGGGGGGCAGGTGGAGGGGGGATGCACAAGCCAGAGGGCAGAAAGCTGGGCCTGGCCCCAGCCTGGCCCCCAAGAAATCGATGTTGGTGCCATATTGTATGGCTCTCCATGCCCCCGGGGCCCAGTCTAAAGGTCCTGCACCCACCTCTGCCCAAAGCCAGCTGTGCTGCTTGTCCACCAAGGGAAAGCGGAAGGGAGGGAGGCTTCTGCCTGGCCTGCCCCACCCCGCTGGTTCATTTACATGGATTTACACGGGCTCATCATGCCTCCATGCACACGGCTTCTTGCCCATCTGCCCTCCTGGTGCCTCTGTAGAGACAAAGGAGTGTGTTCCATCCCTCAAGTCCCCTGCTGTAGGCCCATGGGGGCCCAAGAGCATCCCTGCAGGAAAGAGGGGGCCTGCTGAGGTCCAGAGAAGGCAGGGGCCTCACAGGAGGTAGCCCAGCAATCTATGTGGGCCAGGGCTTGAGCCCACACTTTTTCCACTAACTGCTTTTGGAACCCACTCCCCTTCTGCCCTTTCTCTTTTGAGGGGCTGGCTGCAGTAGGGGGGAGGCGGGGGAGCCCGGGAAGCCCTGTGCTGCTGCTCTGCTGCTTGGCTATGAGCTGGGAAAGCAGACAGATGGGGCCAAGACATGGACTTGGAGCTCCTTCCAAGACAAAGTAAATTGGGCTTAGAACCCAGAACAGTGTGTCAGAAGGGACCACCCAGAAGCCCTGGTCTAGCCTCTCCCTCCTACACAGACTTGAGAATACGGCTCAGGAAAGGTGAGGTCTGCCCAGGATCAGGAGAGGCGATGGTGGCCCAGTGTCTCTGCCTCCAGCCCAGAGCTTGTCCAGGTCCCCCAAATTCCCAGAGTCCTGGCCCGGGCACCTGCTGCCACATTAGTCACCCTAGGAAGGCTGGGTGTGGGAAAGAACCAGGCAGAATCTTCAGCATGGGGCTGGCCCAGGGGAGTGCAGCGGGTGGGGACTGCGCCAGCCTTGTGGGGTCTGCGCCAGCCTTGTGGGGTCTGCGCCAGCCTTGTGGGGTCTGCTCCAGCCTTGTGGGGGCTGCTCCAGCCTTGTGGGGGCTGCTCCAGCCTTGTGGGGTCTGCCGGTGCTGCCCAGGAGCTGGGCTCAGGCTCAGAGAGGGAGCTGTCCCAAGTTCCACTCTCCAGCAGTTACTGCTCAGGAAAATCTCCCAGCAAACCCCAAGGTCATGGGTCCCTGCTGTGAGAAGGGAAGAAGGGCAAGCGAGAAGAGACAGGAGGGTAAAGAAGGTGGGGGGAGGCATCTGGAGGACATCTGGGCTCCTCTCCACATCTCCCCCCATGGAACCCACCCTTTATTCCTAGTCCTGCCCATCCATCTCCCCTGAACAGCCTCTAACTGGCCCTCCACCTCTCATCCCAGTTTCAGGGGTCCCTTTTCACACATCCTTCTGGGTTCTAAAATCTATTTGCTTTATCTTTGAGAGAATGCAAGAGTTTCTAAGGCACCCACCCCAGACCTGTCACTGGCCTGGGGTTGAAAGGCCAAGCTCCGGGCTAGCACACAAGCACACAAACCAGCCCGCTGTCCCCTTGGCAAGCACACGGACCCCGCCCTACCTGGTGGGCCCAGCCTGGAGTAAGGACCTCGCCCCAGTCAGGCACCCCCTCCCGTGGCCCTCTAGTCTCCTGCACACACACACTTCTATCACCACGGGTCTATCCCTTGGGGTCTTATCTGATAAGCTCTCCCCCCAGAATGGGACCCTTGAAGGCTGGAAAGTATACGGCTGTTCCTCATGCCAAGTCTCCAGGGAACTTCGAGAGGTGCAGGCTGGGAAGGGGGAAGGCCAGCCCAAGGTGAGGCGAGGAGGAGGGGTGCAGGAGCTGTCTGGGCTCCAAGGTCAATGGCTTGCAGGCAGTGCACTGCTCAGCAGCTCTGGGTTCAGGTCCCAGTCCTGCCTCTCACTAGCAGGGAGCCCTGCTGAGCTTGTCTTTCCCTCTAAGGCTCTACGGACAGGGTCAGTGAGAGGCTGTGTGATGTTCACACAGGAAGGAAGTGAAATCATAAACAGGGGCCCGCCCTCACCCCCTGACCAGGAAGGCTTTGAAGGGAAGGAACAGGCAGAGGTAAATAAATAGCTTGTTTATTAGTAATATATTACATCATTAAAGTGCATTGAGAAGAGATGCAGGGGCCAAAGCTGGAAGGCCGCTGGCTCCAGGCCCTGCCCTGGGGTGGCCAGACATGCCGGAGAAGACCCAGCTCTCTGCTGAAATCCATGGACAGGGCTGGGGCAGAGCCACCCACCTGGAGAGCTTGGCCCAGGCAGTCCCCACCAGAATTCACAGTTTAGCCTAAGTTATAACATGTCCTGAGCTGAAGGTGGGAGGCTAGGAGCATGGAAGCACAGGCCCTGGGGACGGGGGTAGAGGAGGGGAGCGGACCCCCACCCCCACCCTCAATGCCAAGGGCAGAGTCCTGGAGCCCCCCCCTGAGGACCCAACTCCTTCTGAATGAACGTGTGAAACTAGGGCTCAGTTTTCTCCTTCATTCTCCCGTCTCCCTCACCCCACCCCCTCCCGTTACCACCCCCTCCACACAGGGGGCTTGGACGATGCCCCCCCACTCCCACCCCAGCCTGAGCTCCCGGGGCAGAGCCAGCTCATGCCATCTCCTTGAACTCATGCCACCATGTCCCTGGACTCTTATCCCATCCCCCGGGAGCCTCAGACTGGGACCCCCTACAACCCCTCTCTCCCCAGTCCCTCCCTCTCCCGCCCCACCCCCAGCATGTAGTTTTGGTATTTTCATACAGATGCAGTCGGAAGTAGCTATACATGAAATAAGCCTAACATAAAAATAGAGCTTTTTCCGTCCTTCCGTCCGGAAAGCAAACATCCTTCAATAAACATGCAAGGAGGCTGCCTTAATGGGACCCAGGGCTGGTGAGGGGGCCGCAGAGGGCATCCCTGGGCCTGCAGGAACACCAGCCAGCCCCAGCCATGGCAGGAGGGAGGATGAGGGGGCAATCTGGGTACAGAGAGTCCAAAAAGACTCAGACCTTAGCCCGAAGGTCCACACACTGAGTCCCAGCTCCCCTTCCCCAACTCCTCTGTGGCCCACAGGCTCTTGGGCAGGGAGCATCACTGCATTTAGTCAAGTCTGAGGAGGGGTTTTTGGAAAATAGTCTGCAGAAGATAAAGTCTTGGGTCATCGATGCCCGTTTCACAGTAAACGCCTTCATTCTCCGGCCTCCACTGCCCTCGCGCCACCCGGACCCAGCAGTTGCCTGCGACTGGCCATCTCCAGGCCTGGTGTCCCCCATGGGGTTATGCAGTCCCCCTGAGAGCAGCGGTGGGCAAGGAATTCCTGGGCCGGCGGCTCTGAGGGTGAGACTTCTCTAGTGCCCTGGGGCTGCAGAGCCCACAGCACGCCCAGCCCCAGGAGGCCCTAATGGACCAGCAGGCCCAGAGTGAGTGTGGGCAGGACCCCTAGCCAGAGGGAGGCCACACGGGTGTGGGCATGGCTCTGCAGCTGCTCAGCCTTGGCCTCATCCTCGGACAGCAGCTGCCAGTGCTGAGCCTTGTGGAGGTAGGAGCCCTCCTGGGCCTCGCAGTAGTAGTGGCCATAGTGGCCGGCCGTGAGGTTCTCGATGAACAGGATGCAGTTGGGACTCTGGTGGCCAGGCTCGCAGCTCTGCTCCACCTTCTGCCCGTGGCGCCACCAGTAGGTGGCGTGGCGGGACTCCATAGGGCAGCTCAGGTAGTAGCGAGAGTTCTGGGCCAGGGAGACCTTCTGCACTGGGGCCTCCTCTGGGGGAGGATGGAAAGGTAGCCATGAGGAGACGGGGAGCGGGGAGGGCCTCAGGCCCCCAGGGCAGGCTGTGTCCGCCCCACTGACCAGGCCTCCAAGACCAAGGCTTCAAGTGCACACAGGGAAATGAGGGACGCCTCCTTACTCTCCCCTGCCTCCCCCACCACACCCCTCTCACAACCACCCCCACGCCAAGGGGGCTCCCTCCACAGGAATGTCCTGCCCCATCTGCCTGAGGCCCCCGGGACCAGATCATAGTTCACCCAGACAGGGAAATGGGGGCATGGCTATACAACCCTCATCGAGCTGGGGACTCGGGCAGGGACAGATCCCGTACCTGGCTTTGGGTTGGGACACTGTTTGTGTGGCTCAGCTGGATTAATGGACTGCAGCACTGGCCTAGAGTTGGGAGGACAGAGGCGAAGTAGACAGGGCCAAAGACCCGGCCCTTCCCTATCCCCATCCCCTCCCAGCATCCACCATGGTGTCCCCTCAGAGGAGGGTCTGGCCAGAATGGCCTAGCACCGAGCACCAATGCCTCCTGCAGCCCGTCCACACCACCCCAATTCCTGTGTCCACCTTCTCCCAGGGACAAGGGATCCTGGCAACATACCTTTGGACGCTGTAGATGGAGACACAGCGGCCCTTGTCCCAGCCACAGTAGGGGTCTCGGGCCATGAGGCAGCCATGGCAGCCCCCGCCGTAGACGTCACACAGGTCCAGGGGCACCTGGCTCACCTCCCACTGGGAGCTCACGTACAGTTTCCGCTGGAAGGAGAGGAGAACTAGGTCAGGCCAGGGGCCTCACCCCCAACACTGAGTTCTAAACCCCCAGGCCATGGCCGCTGCCTACAGGCTCTGAAAAGGACAGGCAAATCACATGCAAAGAAGGCCTGTCTTCAGCTGGCCATCGCTGAGTGGTCCCACAGGGCAAGGCGGAGAGTGGGGAGGCTCACCCAGTCAGCGTCCAGTGACATGGCTTGGATGGTGGCCGCACGGCGGAAGGGTTGGATCTCTATGATGTTGAAAACGAAGCTGTGTTCCAACTCCCTTGACTCCACCACCTTGTGGATGGTGCCCCTGTCTGTGGGTGGTGGGCAAAGGGTCAGTGGGCAGGGTCCCACCTTGGAGCCAGGCAGCCTCCTTCGAGGCTGGACCAGCCAGAGAAGACACGGGTGGGGGAGGGCTGGGAAGTCATGGCTCAGGCAAGGGTCACAGGACTGGGAGGGACATGGGAGCCGGAAGGCAGCCTAGGAAGTTTCCAGGCTGGCCCAGGGCTCTGCGAGGCCCAGGGGAAGGTAGATTGTGAAGCATGGAACCAGCAGTCCTATGTGCCCAAGTACTGCACCAAACCAGTCAGTCCTCCACACCCCTCCTTGTGAGTGTATCTTCCCCACTTTGCAGATAAGAAAATGAGACTCAGAAAGGCTAAGCAACTTGTTCAAGGTCATACAGCTGGTGACTGCAACCCAGAGGTGTCCGAACACCACCCCTCCCTCAGCTTCTTCCCTAACTCCCCTGTCTCTGGGGCTCTTCAGGGATATGTTTTCTTTAAATAAACTTATTTCGGAATAATTTCAGATTTACAGAAAAAATGCAAAGATAGCACAGAGAGTTCCCATATACCCTTCACCCAGTTTCCCCTAATGGTACCATCTTATGTAACTATGGCACATTTATCACAACTGAGCAGACTTTACTGGGATTTCACGGGTTTTTCCACTAGTGTCCTTTGTCTGATCCAGGATCCAATCCAGGACTCCACATTGCATTTAGTCTCTGGGGACTTTTAAATTTTTATAAAATCTTAGCTCTGAAAAGGACCTTAGATTCCACGTAGGGATTCCCAAGGTCACGTATGAGGCAGCCTGCCTCCAAGGCCTGTGCTCCCTCCATTCACACGTACTGGGGGCTAATGGGCACCCTGACCCCTGTGTCCTCCCAATCCCACCTCACCCACTGCCCCAGTTTCTGTAATAGCCTACCTCCTTTTCCCTCCTTCCCAGTTCCCCAGAGTATCACTTGCCCCAAAAACCAGTCAGATAATGGGATGGTGGCCTGCCTAGGACATTCCCTTTGGTTCTGTGACCGCCCTCACAGGCTCTGGGATGTGGCCCGATGCTTCTTTGGCCTGACAAGCCGACAGCCCCATCACTGCCCTTCACCTCCTTCCACTGCAGTCTGGTGACAGCCTCCCACAGCTTCCCTCGGCTGGGAGAGCCTCCCATTATCTGCAGAGGGCTTAGAAGGCTCTATTTCTTGTCTGGCCCCAATTCTTCCTGCTGCAGGCTCCCAAATGATGTCTCTCCGATGGCCCCCAGGGACAAGAGGCAACTGCCCTCCTCACTCAAATGTGCTCGCCTCCAAGGTCTGCAGGAAGGGGACCCACGGTTCCCTGTCCTAACTCCTGCTCCCAGTCCCCCTTCATGTGGCCTCTCCTCTCCTGCACCCCAGTGCCCTGCTGTCCCCTGGCTGACTGCAACAGCTAGGCCAGACACTGCTGGAGCAGAGCAAGGACAGGGGCCCATGGGGGTGGGCAGGATGAATGGAGGAGTGAAGAGATATGGTTTTGGGACTCAAAAACCAAGCCCTGCTCTGTGGGTACCGATGAGGCCACCGTGGCTCTGAGATAACTCCAAGGTGAAGCAACAGCAGGAAGTCACATGGGGGAAGGGTGGGTGCCTGAGGCCTGAACTGTGTGGCCCTAGAGGTGCTAGGCATCTGGAGGAGACACTGCCCCTTTCTGATGGCACCACTGCCCTATGTCTGGGAAAACCTGCAGCTCACTCACACTAGTCTCCACGCCTGCTCCCAGGAACCCCGCTTTGCCTATAGCTAGCACCAGGAAGCTGCCATAAACCCAGTTCAGGGCTGGCTCCTCCATGGCCAGTGGCTTCCTAGAATGCAGGGGCATCTCCCAGGGCATTCTACCAGCTTCTGGGGCCAGCAAGACCCTGCTCCCCCAGAGGAGTCCCCTCCAGGGAAGAGGAGGTGCCCTAAGTCCTCTGCAAGACTCTGCAAAAGCTCTGCTCTCCTGAAGCCCTTCCTCACTTCGGACTCAATTCTTTGCATCCCACGTCCAATGTTTCCTCTCACCTGCATAATCCCAGAGACAGGGAGAGGGCCAATTTCCTCAGCCCCAGGATCCCCAGGAACCAGGTCCTTCCTCCTGACTGTCCGCAGCTCTTCCTACCATCTTCAGGAGTCAGACACCTGGACCAGAGCTGCACCCGTCTTTTCTCAGACTCACCACATTTCTGCCTCTGAGTCCTGGTACCTGCTCTTCTCCCACCTTAGGATGCCTTCCCCTCTTCCCTCTGCCCCCTCCTCCTCCAGAAAGCCCCCGTGCCTGACTCTTCCACAGCCACACACACTAACCCCTGATAGCTCTTAGTCACTCAATTCTTCCTTCCAGGTATAATATCCAACCAGATGTTAATTACATTCTTCTTTATACCTTTCATATCCATTTTTACAAAGCAGGCCAGGGACGTCACGGGTAGTCCCTCACCTGTGGTTAGGTAAAGCACACGGAAGACATCCCCGTTGCTGGCGTTCATGCGATGGACAACTACTTTCTGGTAGTGGTACTTAGAGTGAAACAGTGGTGTCTTCTGAGGTCCCATGGGCTCCACCCTCTGCACCACCTCAGGGTGACTGTCGGCCACCTGGAAGGTCTCCGTGGGTATCGGCTGCCGGTCTGGGAGGCACTAGGCAAGGAGAGCAGACCCAGGTCAGTGGGTAGCTGGGAAGTGGAGTGAGGGGAAGGCTGGGGCCTGGGCCATGGTGAGTGTCGCTGCTCACCTTGCCAGGCCGAGGGTTGGGGAGGCTTGAGTGGTAGCCCTTGAGTGAAGAAGTACGGAAGACCTTGTCAATGTCCCCGAGGGAATACACACAGACAGCTGAGTAGTTCCTGCGGGGTCACAGAAACCACTTCAGTGGGGGGGGGGCCCAGGCCCCACCCACCCACGTCCTCTCACCCAGCCCAGCCCAGCATCACACAGGGCCCAACCACCGCCTTCCAACCAAGCTCCCCAGCCTGCGAGCTCCTTGAAGGCAGGGACCACCCTGGGCGCCAAGCCCAGTGCTTAAAGTAACAGTTGTCAAATCCCACTGAAAGCAGGAGGGAGGCAGGGAAGTCCAACCTCATTTCTTCCTGCTGCAATCTAAAACCACAACCCGTGTTCTGTCATGGGATCATTGAGTTCAGAGGTCGGCCCCAGGGCAGGAGGACTCCCCCATGTGCATCCCTGGTGGCAATTCTCCTGCCCCTCTGGGCACAGCTGCAGGGTGCTGATGCCCAAGGAGGCCAGACCCCATCCCCTCTCCAGCCCAGCTGGACTCACCCACACAAGAGCCATAGAGCAGGGTCTTGGCTTTGCTACCCTGGCCCCCTCCTCTCCACACACACACCCAACTTTCACCTGCCTTGTTTTCAATCAAAGAGAGTGATTAAGAGGCGTGAATTATCAGGTGTGAGCTAACACCCTGCACCCAGCACCCCAGAGGCCTCAGCAGCTTTCTTCCGAAACCCAGCACCCACTCTGAGCACAAAGCTGGTGGACACACAGGCACAGGCATTGCCATGAGTGTGCATGTCATACATGCATGCACACCTGCGTGCACAGACTCACAAACACATCAGCACACACATCTCCCTGAGCACTAACTGTCTCCCTACCCCAGGCCCAGCCATAGCCCTGTCCCTTGAGCCTAGAGTCCCTGCTTATGCCACATCAGCCATCCCCTTAGCAGGGCCCATGCCCCCATTCCCTACTGGACATGTAACCAATGCCAGCCCCAGCCCAGAACGAGGCTCACTCACCAGGGGTTGGAGAAAACGCCATAGACCCTAGTGTCCCTCCACTGGCCATTGGGGTCAGGGAGCAGGAAGACGTCCTGCAGCCTGTTGAAGTTCTTGTTGGTAGTAGGGTCGCTGCACACCAGCATGGCTTTCAGGAAGGTGTTCCACTTGGAGACTGACAGTGAACTCTCACCACCCTGGTCCCCCTGAAAGGGTGGAGAGCAGAGGAGGCCCCTCAGCACCCACGGGCACCTGCTACCAGGAATGCCACCACCCAGGCTTCAGAAGAGGAAAATGGGCTCTGAAAGGGGCGGGACCTATCAGGGACCAGGCAGGGGCGCACCATGGCTCAGGCCAGGCTCCAGCCAGAAGGCCTGGCTGACGCAGGGCACAGGGCCATCGGTGGGGACCTGCAGGTGAGGGTACTGGGTCTTTCCTCACAGAGCAGATGGGCCCAGACACATATTTGCCTGCTCATGCTCACACATGCACACTTACACACAGGTAAGACACACGCACACAGGTAATACACACGCACATCCCGGTACCTTCACACAGGTGAAACACACAGTTAAACACTTTCATACTCACACACATTTAGACACTCTCCCATGACAACACACACATGCACACTATCATACATGCACATGAGCCCAACCATCGTAACACTCACAGACACACGGATACTCTTGGGCGCACACATTTACTCCCACAGTCCTACACACGGACTCACTCGCACATTTCACACACTCCACACAAACATGCATGCACATCTGCACACAGGCACTTGCACACTCACTCACGCCTGCTGACGCACAAACACTCACTCTTGCCCACGAGCCACCCACTCACCCTGCACAGCTGGGCCACGCGGGACACGTTGAGAGGAGCCTCGGGATTCTTGTCCGGGTTGTCCTCCCGGAAGAAGTAGTAGATCTTGTCATCGTAGTCCTGGTCCTGGTGCACAATGGTGGCCTTAATGAACTGCGGGTCTGTCAGGGGCACATCCAAATTGGTGTGAGGCTGCGGAGCCTGCTCGGGGTGACCCCTACAACTCTGCACACCCCTCAAGTCTGCACAAACAAACCCGGGACAAATAGGACCTGGAATAAAACTCACATCAGGCCCAACACCCCAAGGGCCCTGAGACTGCACCCCCACCCCACACCTGTTTGATCTCCCCCCTACAAAGATGTCATGGCCCCAGGAGCAATGACTTCATGCCTGGGGACTGGTGGAAGATCTCTGGGGGCCTTTAGTCCCTTCTGCCTAATTGGCAGAGCTCTAATGAGGAGGGAGGGGGTGTTGTCCCCACATGAGCTCAGCAGAGGGATACACTATGGCTCCAGGGGACCCCACTCTGGGTCTGGGGATTCCTCGGTTTTGTTCCCAGAGTGTATTGGGCCCATCCTGTCTCTGCTGTTCCCCTGCTCCCTGCCGGGCCAGCCTTCTCAGCTCTGGCTGCTCAGGCCTGTCCCCAGCTCCCACTTTCCTGACTGGCAGATGGCCCGGCAGCCTTTGGAGCCTGTCAGGGAACATGAGGCTCCCACTGCCGCCCTGGGGGTTCACAGCCCCCGCCCCACCGCAGCCCAGCTGGAGCCTGGCTCACTCTGCATGACGGTGTCGCTGGTGTACAGTTCAATCTCCCCCTGGATGCGGCGGAAACGAGGGATCTTTCCATTGTATTCTTGCTTCCGGATTGTGGAGTACACCTCTTCCCCTGGGCATGGTAGGAGGGGCATGGGTAAGGGCACACACTCCTGGAAGTCCCTCCCTGGGCCTGGGCCACTGGCCACGGAGCTGACACCCCCTCCCCAGCCCAGGGCAGCAGCCCCCGGGGGCCCTTCCTGCTGCAGCCACAGCCCTACCATCAAACAGAACCAGGGAGTTCTCATCTGGGCTAAATGGGGCATAGCCTCTTCTCTCACCAAGCGACTCCACGGTGTCATTCACCTGTGGGAGACCAAGGGGGTCAGACAGCCTCCCATGGGCGCCAGCTGCCCAGCCAGGCACTCCGTACACGGTGAGGCCGTCCTCCATCCCTCCCAGACAAGGGTGAGCTGACCGGGCATATGAGAGGGGCCTTCTCACCAGGGTCCAGCAGCTGGGGCGCCGCGCATTGGTGCCACAGACCAGCAGCCCCCGGCCCTGCTTCTCAATGAGCGTGATGTAGTTCTCACAGTCCTGCCCAGGAGAAGGGGAAGGAGGCCTCAGGAGGGTGAGCATGGAGGCAGCCTCCAAGGAGAGCCCAGAAGGGGTGCAGCTGACTCCAACCCCCCCAGGAGCAGAGGAAGGACACAGGGGCCTCAGAGAAGGACTGTGTCTCCCCTCAGAGAGCCCCAAGGCAGAGCTGCCTCTTTCTTCCCAGACTGGGGCTCCCAAGGCAGGGCCATGCGTCCTTCCTCAGGCTCTCAGGGACTTTTCCATGGGCCCCTCTGCAGTCCCTCTTCCCCACTCACCTGCTTGTCCACACAGGACCCCTTTGTGGAGCCAAAATTCACCTGGGGGGAAGGCGGGAAGGGAAAGCATCAGTCCACTGTGCCAAGGCCCCAGTGCCCCGTAAGTGCTTTCTATGCTCCCTAAGGACAAGCTCATTTTATGTTATATGTGAGTGACGAGGACTCTGAGCGGGTGAATGATTCGCCTAAGGTCACACAGGCTGCTCTGATACCCAGAGCCAAACGCAGAGCTGAGGGGCCAGCCCAGAGATCTCAGAAGACCGGGGTCATGAGGTTCTGCAGTCCAGCCTCCTGACCGGGCCTCCCCCATCAGCACACCTACCCGGCCAGGTGGGTAAGCTCCGGGCTTTTCTCCACTTTACCCAACACCCACGCCCATCTGGACTACCTTTAGGGAGCCTCCCCCAGGGACCATGTATGGGATATAATGAGGGGTGAGCCAGTTTAGGAAAGAGATGCCGGCACCCTCCCCCAGATTCCCTGAGTTCCTTCTTCACCAAGGCCCGAGGGGAGACAAGGAGAGAAGTGGAGGCACGGGTGCGGGAGGGCCCTAGGCTCACCGTGTGCACAGAGGCGTTCTTGCCCTCGGGGAAGCTGACGCGGTAGACCTTGCCACGTCCACCCACCCACACGGAATCTTTGCCTGGCTCATGGAAAAGTACTGTGTGTGGCTCTGTCGAGCCGAAGTCCACCTGGTCCTTTCCTGCACGACCTGAGGAGGAAGCAATTGGCAGAAATTTGAAGCTGGGCCCTGGGCGGGAAGATCGTGCCCCCGCCCTCCCGCTCTTAGGCACACCCACACCCACCTGGCAACTAGAGCTTGGACCTGGGCTAGGGCCAGTGCCAGGACTCAGAGCCACAGGCAGAAGCGAGGGGCGCCCAGGTAGAGTACAGCAAACAACTGACCTCGCCCCAAAGCCATGTCCCCTCCTCTACAATATGTGTGACCTCAGGGTAGGGGCAGGATTTAGGAACGCCTGGGGAATACAGCACACACACACACACACACACACACACACACACACACACACACACACACAAAGATGGCTGTTCTAAGGGGCTGGGCTCAGGCAAGAGGGACTAGGGCCTACGGCCCTGCTTTGTGAGGTTCTCTGCTGCCCAGGACAGAGCAAGTGGTCACCTCCACCCCCTGCAGGTAGCAAGACCTCTAAGCACCCCGCTTGGAGTACAGGTTCCTAGGAATTACTTTGCTCGGGACCCCATCCCCTCCTTCAGGAAGCCCTCTCCAACCCCTCCTGGCCCACCCCAGCCCCTCAGAGAGCAGGTCAGCTTAGATGAGAGCTGGAAAGGAATCTAAATGTCCATTCCCTCCCATTTCACAGATGCGAAAGCAAAGGTCCAGAGAGGGGGCAGTACGAGGTCACAGGGTCAGTAGCAGGCCCTGAACCAGAGCCCAAGTTCCGGCCCGCAGCTGGACTCCTGCCTAGCCCACTCTGGCTGGTCCCCTGCAGGTACCAGCTCGCCCCTCCCTCCCCAGCAACACTGGGACATAGGGCGCTTCACAGAGCACAGTCTGGGCCTTTAAACAAAAGGCTGACCCGGACAATTTTGCCTAAAAAGGAAACTGTCTGCAGCCACCGCCTCCAGAGAGATGTCTCATCTCTGGTGACATTGCTGAGCTCTGGTTTAGTCCTGGTTGCAGTACTAAATTACAGAGATGGGACCGCCTGTGGCTGTGCCCACAGCAATCACCCACAGCTCACATCTTCCCACCTCTGACCAGCCTGGGCGTCACCCAGGTACTGGCCTGACCACTGTTTATTCAGCTGCAGCAAACTCAGGGCCAGCCAGCTTAGCAGTGACACCCAGGCAGGACACACTCCAGCCCAGACAAAAAAGAACTGCCACTTCCTAAGTCTGTCCCCAATCCCCCTTGCTGCCATTTGAGCCATTCCTACTGATTCTGCATTCAGCGGGGCAAAGCACGACACGCAGTGCAGCCCATACCTTCTTTCCCTTTCCTTAAGATACATCCCCTGAATGGCCAAGTCACCCCAGAAGTGGGGGATCGCACTCTTCACCTCAGCTGTGACCCGGTTCACTGCAGAGGCAGAAACTGAGTGCCCCTGGGGGACATGCCGGCCCAAGGTCACGCTAAGAGGCAACACAGACTGCCTCATCCAGACTGAGTATTGGTTCTCAGGGAGATGCCAGCACTGTGAGCCACAGAGAAGCGCTGAGCTCACTGCCCTCGGTTTGCCTGGCTCTCCTCAGGTGCTCCACAAACAGCCCGAGGACCCCGTCTGCACCCCAAGGCTCACTGCCCTTCAGCCCCAGCTGTGCAGGGCAGGGGCCCAACACCCAGCTCTGTGCTGGGTGCTGGTGGGGGGGGGGATGGGGTGAGGGGGGTGATAGCCAAGGCTGGAGCAGGGCTGGCAGGTCTCAGGACCCCAATTTCCCCTCCTCTCCAGCTGGGGTAAAATTAGAGTGCTGGGGTCAGCAGCCTGAAGACATAGGCCTTCCTGACTCAGCTCCCACAGCTCCTCTTTCACCCACAGCCCAGAGCCCAGGCCAGGATCCAGGCAGTCAGCAGCCCCAGCTCCCTCCCACCCCCTCGGCCAGCCAGGGGCCAGGAAAAGCTGTGCACCTGGAGATGCTGGGCTGCGGCAAGAGATCTGAACCATCCCCAGAGGCCCAACGGGAGGCGCCCCAACACCCAGGCCATCCCAACCACCTCCATCAGTCACCTCATCAGCACCCCAGCAATGAGGCCATAGCCAATGCATAGTCCCTGGAAAGGAACCCTGGAGGGGGCCCTGATGGAGCCCTTGTCTGGGGGGGGCGGGTCACAGTCCTGCCCTGGGGAGTCAAGCTTGATGGGAGAGGCAGTGGCCTGGCCCTGAAGAACAAGGGCTGAGGGGGACACCGGCCCTACCCTAGAAGCCAGTCAGAGGGGTAAGACAGCCACACTGAAGCAAGCCTCCAATGCTCAGTACAACTTAGTGCAGCCCCAGGGCAGCTCACAAATAATTTCTGAGGACACGGAGAGAGGGGAAGGGCCACCACGGCTAGGTGCAGCATGGGGGGGCTGCAGCACAAGGTCAGGACAGTCCTGCACAGAACTGCAAGCCTGAGCCCCACTCCCCTCAAATCCTGGCTGCAGGCGCCCCGTGCGGGGGCAGCAGGGACTGCTGGCCCCATTTTGCTGAAGAACAAACAGGAGCCCAGGAGCATTGCCTCCCCTGACCCCCCAGGCTCCCGCCCCTCGGGGCTCGGCGCCTGGTGGTGTGTATGAGGGGGTGGCACCAGCCCAGCCCCAGGACCTGGCCTTGGCCCATTCTCCACCCCAACCCCAGCCCTGCTCCTGCACCCTCAAAGAGCCTGATTGTGCAGGGGAAGTGTCTGAGCGGCAGCTCGATGAATACATGAAAAGAAGCTTTGTTCAGGTCAGCAGGAGTGGGGGGCTGGGGGCTGAGGGGCAGGAGGGCTGCCTGGAAGCGAAGGCAGCACCACCAAGCCTCAGGGCCAAAATCCGTGGCCCTACGGCACCAACACAGAAAGAGCTAGGCCGGGAAGGGGGTGACCTTCATGGCTCTGCCCATGCAGGGGCTGAGCAAGGCCAGGGGCCGCCCGTAAAAAGGCCCTGCCAAGGGAGCAAGTGTGACATCCCTAAATGCGTGTTTTTGTTTCCTTATGAATCCAAAGAGATGGGGACGATAGATCAAAGCTAGATAGTCAGGAATAAGCAGAAAGAGAATCCCAGGTAGGGCAAACAGCCCCAGCAAAGGTGGGAAAGCAAACTGTGTGCTGGGTACAGAGATCTAACCAGCGAAGGTCAGGAAGGTAGGCTGAGGCCCATGCATGAGGGGCCAGAGGAGGTGCTGCTGCCCAAGGATACACGGACCCACTGCCCATCGGTCTCTGTGCTGCCCCTCCTCCCTAGGAGCAGGGCCAGAACCTGGAGAGCCTCCCCTCCTCCAGCACCCGCTCCTTCCTGCTCCCTCCTGCCCAACCCCCTCCGCTTCCCATCCTGGATGTCTAAAAGGAGCACCGTCTGGCACCGTGTCTCCCCCTTCACTCCCCAGCCTGACGCATTAGTGGCTGAGTAAGTGGTAGCTAAAAGCTCCCAGAATAACCAGGGGTTCAGGCAGGGGAGGGGGCTAGGGGCACATGGGAAGGCATGGCCCCAGAGGCGGCCTGGCACGAGACCCCTCTCCTAAGCCCCATGTGATTCTGAGCCAGTCCTTGCTCCTTCTGGGTCAAGGAAGAGCTCACTAGAGCTGCTGGGTACCCAGCAGGACTCCATGGCCCTCTCTGAGTCCCCACCCTCCTCACGGCATCAGGACAAGCAGGGCCCAGGCCCAGGTCCTGCCGGGATGAGGGTCAGGAAGATGGCTGAGCATGGGAGAGTCTCCCCCAGGCACAGCCCTCCAGTTGGGCTCCATGGGACTCTGATCCTGTTGGAACCAATCAAAACTGATCCCTTTCATACCCTCCACCCTCCCACCACTGTCCAGGGGACAGCTACCTGAGGCCAGTCTGGACTTCTGTGAGTGGCTCTCTGAAAACAGGCCGCCTGGTGGGACATTGTTCCTCCTCATACTCTCTGGGTGCTGTCTCTACCTGGTCACTGCTGTCCCCACATTCTCATTGTTTATGCAAGAGGGCAGCCCAAGGGGAGGGTGGAGTGGGTGCTGGAATTGGGAGCAGTGTTGTTGTCCCTGAAGGGAGCAACAAAGGACTGGCCACACAATCTGGTGTGGGCAGGGACAATCTTCCAACCTGACCGACTGACCCAACAGGCCTTGAACGCTAACCCCAAGGAGTCCTTTGACAGTGGGCATTGAGGCAGGCTCTGAGAATGGCAGGAACTTGGACAGCCAGCAGGGAATGCCTGAGTCAGGCAATCAGAGAGGCCCGGCACAGGCAGGAGCCTCCTCCCACAGCTCCAGCCACCCTGCACCACCAGGCCCACCTCACACCCTCGCCTACTACATGCTGGCAGACTAGAGGAAAGGCCCACGTGGGTCCAGGAATTAGTAGCCTCTCTACCCTTTGGAACCCACACCCCACGGGTCAAGGTGGAAGAGAGGGCATCTGAACAGTCATTGGACTGGGGGGGCATGGAGGCCAGAAAGGCTGCGCCACTGGCCCAAGGCACACGGCAAAGCAGGCAGGGGCAGAACCAGGCCACAGGTCAAGGTTTCTGATACCCAAGCACCCAGCTCCAGCCCTCGGGATCACAGCCTATACTTCCTTGAGAGCCTCTAGGTTTGCAAAACATTGTGTATCGCCCGCCTTCCCTCCACTTCCTGTGTCATCTGCTCTCTGCCAACCGCTCCCTACTAGGTGATAAGTCACTAATCTGATAACTGATGGGAATCACCTACCACTTACCTTCCAGATAGGGCTCTGGTCTACAAGTGCCTTAAACCCAAAGGAGTGACTGATGGTGCAACTCAGCGCTGTGTCAGAGCAGTGGAGGCAAAGGAACAAATGTATCAGCTCCGTCTCTCCTCATATGGCCAGGCTCAACAGGTGTGAGAAGCCATGGCTCATACCCAGAAGCCGTTTCCAGTGGCACCGGCCTGTGCTAAGGGGTGGGGGGGCTGTTGGGGTGCCGGTGACACTCGGCAAGATGAGGTTCCTGATAGCTGCCTGGTAGGGGCAGAGCCACGCTGGGCACGTGGTGGGCCCTTGATACGGTACTTGACTCAAGGGAAGTGAGCGGTCTGCCTCTTTATCACTCAGGGAACAGGGAGCTATGTGCTGGGCTGAGAGGCGTTTCCTCCCGCCCACCAAGGTCAGCTGTGGGTGGGGAGCATATCTCACGTGTGGGCTCTGCCCTGACTCCAAGAAGCCTCATGCTCTGTCTGGCAGCTGGCAGCGAGCTGGTTGGCTGTGACCATGACGAGGGGCTGGGCCTTCCTGAGTTGTTTCCTACTCTGCGAATCGGAGGGGCTGGTACTTGCTAAGGTATAGGTTTTATGACCCACCATCGTTCTTGGAACAAATTACAAAACAGTCAGGGTTAATTTTACAAGTCATTTTCGGAAAGGGATTGTGAGTGCTAGCCAAGTCGGGGATGGCTTTCTGGGGGTGGAGGCAGCTGGACAAGTCACATCCTCGTCTGCCTCCACGAACTCACCCACCAAATCCCCCAACCACCCTGAAAAGAAGGCAAGACAAGGGTCTGAATCCCCATTTTATAGACAGGAAAACTAAGGCCCTTCCAAACCAGCAAGGGCTGTGTGCTCTCTGCACTGAGCCACTGTGTTCGAAGGACCAGAACGCTTGGCTGGTAGGGAGACTAGCTGGGGCAAAGGCTTGGGGGGAAGTGGCAGCTGGAGAACAAGGTGTGGGGGACTGAGCCCAGCCAGATTCGAGGGCTCAGGGAGGGAAGACTGGCACAGAGGCTCAGCTGGAGCAGAGAGGAGGCTCTAGGCCCAAGGAACCCAGGATGAACACCATGTCAGGTCCACCTTCCACCCATTCCTCAGCCCAACGGGTTCTTAAAGCTCCAGAGTGAGGCCAAGGTCAGCTGGTGGCTCCTTTAAAGGAGAGGACGGGCAGAGATGCAGGGCCTGCCCTTGGGCCCAGAGCCAGGGTAGGGGTGGGGGAGAAGGCAGAAGATGGCTAGACTACCCCAAGGGGAGGGAGAGAGGCAGGACGGGAAGACTGTTGAGAAACAGAAGGTTCCTCAGCTCAGCCTTAGCCTGGGCAGGGAGGCAGGAGGTGGGGGAGGCTGGAGGGGGTACAGCCAGTTAGGGGGCGCTGGCAAGGGCCAGGTTGGCAGGGCTGCATTTCATCAGCAGTCAGAGCTGCTGAGGAGGAGGGGCAGGACAATGCTGACACTGGTGCCCCTACCACCCACCTACTGGTTCCAGGGCGCTTACTATGTGCTGGGCACAATTCTCAGTGATTTGTGGGTATCTTAACTCATTTAATCATCACTGCATTCTTGTGAGGTGGGTTCTCTTATTGTCCTCACTTTGCAGATGAGGGCAGCGAGATGCAGAGAAGGCGAGTAACTTGTCCAGGACCACACAGCTATTAAGTGATGGAGTGGAGGATGAAGCTCAGACAAGCTGACTCTGGAATCTGTTTGTAATGCTCTATGGATGGGCCCTTGGAAGCTTCCAGCTTCCCCGCTCCCCACCCCAATTTAAATGACAGACTGAGGCCCAGGGAGGGTGCAGTCTGGTCAGAGGCCACTTGGCCAATGGAGGCCTGACCTCTATCCAAGATGCCCTAAGGAATGAGTGTGAGGAAGCGTGGGTGTCAGGCCCGATGCGAGGTGCAGCGCAGTCCTGAGTGCCGACCAGCATGACTAACTGGAAAGAGAAGTCTTACAAGTCTCTGCCCAGAAATAGAACCCACTCTGTGGTCTGGGGCAGGCCACAGTGACGTGCAGTAGATATTGAAAACCCTTCTTCAAAATCTGCTCTGCAAGGTTCCAGCCAGCACTGGCCCAAAACATTCAAAGACTCGCCTCCTGGGTGTGGAGAAAGGGACCCCTCGTGCACTGTTGGTGGGATTGCAAGCTGGGGCAGCCACTATGGAAAACAGTATAGAGGTTCCTCAAAACATTAAAAATAGAACTACCTTGTGACCCAACAATCCCACTCCTGAATATTGATCCAAAAAAACCCAAATCACTAAAAAAGATATATGCACCCCTATATTTATTGCAGTGCTATTTACAATAGTCAAGATATGAAAGCAACCTAAGCATTCATTGATAGACGATTAGATAAAGAAGATGGGGTACATATATACAATGAAATATTACTTGACCACTAAAAAATATGAAATCTTACCAACTGCAACAACATGGATGGACCTAGAGGGTATTATGATGAGTGAAATAAGTCAGACAGAGAAAGACAAATACCATATTATTTCATTTATATGTGGAATCTAAAAAACAAAATAAATGAACAAACACAACAGAAAGAAACTCATACAGAGAACAAACTAATGGTTACCAGATGGGAAGGGGGTTAGCAATGGGTGAAAAAGGGGAAAGGATTAAGAAGTACAAATTAATAGTTATAAAATAGTCATGGGCATGTAAAGTACAGCATAAGGAATACAATCAATAATATTGTAATAACTATGTATAGTGCCAGGTGGGTACAAGATTTATCAGGGGAATCACTTCATAAATTATATAAATATCTAACCACTATGCTGTACACCTGAAACTTATATAATATTGAATGTCAACTATAATTGAAAAAAATTTTTAATTAAAAAAATTTTTTAAAAAAACCCACCAGCTGCCTCCACCCCTGGGGTCCCCAGCTCAAGACCCCACTGTGGCTCCCAGCTGCCTGTCCCACCCAGCAGGGCCCACCCCACCTCTGCTCACCCCTGCCATGGCTCCTGCCACACCTTCGCTCGTGTTCTTCCTTCCCAGATCGTCCTCTCCCCTTCCCTGTGCACATGTCTTCCCTGTCGAGATCTAGCCTCCATCCTCCTGGCTCCAGGAAGTGTTCTACACCGCTCCACCCCTCACTGTTCCCTGCCCCTTTGACCTTGCTATACCCATCTGGCACACACCATCTTCTTTCAGGTCACAATCTCTTGCGTGGGGACCTGAAGGTGAGGCCAGGCCTCCTCTCACTCCAGGGTCCCAGGCCAAGCCAAGGCCAGGGCTGGGCAAGTGATGGCAGATGAGGGCGCGTGGAGGGGTAACCAAAGCCCCAGGTCCGATGAGGAGACATCTTAGGATAGATGCCCAGGCTGCTGAGTTGATCACGTGACCTTCCTTCCTCACTCAGGCCCAGAAGACAAACAAGAGCAGCTTTCTGTGCCGCACTCTGCCCGCACCCCACGCCCGGGTCCGCGCCCCAACCTGGCTCTTCGCCCTCCCCGAGGCGGTCTTCCCCAGTTGGACTGACCCACACTGACCTTCCCTGCTTTTACCCCGTCACAGTGCTTGGCTGTACCTACTGGTCCTTCCTGACCTCCCCAGGTGCCTTCTCTAGTCCTACGCAGCAGGTCCACCTCTCCGGACACCTGTGTGCTCCCCAAGGGCAGACCCCAGCACAGAGGCAGGGGCTAGCTGCCTCCACAGTGAGGGCTGCCCTGGGTACTGGCACAGAGCGCGAGCCCGACTGGAAGCGGGCGGTACAGGAGGCACACAAGATGATCCTAATCCCAGGCTGCCATGAGGGTTAAACCCGGATTGGCCCAAGCCATGACACAGATCCACCTGCCCCGAGACGCCCGAGGCCCAGCTGCCCTGAGGAAAAAGCCAGAAGAGGTGTGTCGAGCTGGCCGAATCTAAGGTCCTGTGGGGAGGAAGGTCATGGCCAGTGAGGCTCCTGGGAGGAAGAGTCTGAGCTCAGCTGAGCTGTCCAAGGAGGACAGGTGCTCAGGGAGTCCCAAGCCTGGGGACAGAGCATGAAGGCAGACAGACAAGTGGGGGGAGGGCAAGAGCTGAGCAGGCGCAGGCTCGGGCAGACACAGCCCTGGTCCCAGCTGAGCCTGGCTTACGGGTGACCGTGGGCCAGTCCTTGTCATCTCTGGCCTGTTTCCCCATCTGTGGCATTTGTGGTTGGACCAGCTGATCTCTGACTTTTTTTTTCTGACGTCCTAAACTCTGTCCCATCAGGCTGTGTGGGTTGAAGTTATTCAAGGAGGTTGCTAGAAGAAGTGCGATAGCGCTGGCAGAAAAGAGAAGGAGGGTGAACGGGGTGCAGGCAGGGATGACAAGCAGGACAACGGCTCTGAGGAGGAGAACATGGGGAGCTGTCGAGTGGTGAGGGAAGAAGTGTGGGAGACAAGGTGGAAGTGGGGCCAGCCCACCACGTAGGACTGGGGAAAGCAGCAGCTCTGTCGCCGAGTGTCCTGGGAGGAACGCTCAGCTAGGTGACCTCTCAGAGACCAGGGCACAGTCCTGGAGACAAAGCAGGGCCAGGGCCAGGGCTGGAGGAATAACGGGCTTGGAGGCTGACTGGTGGGGAAGAGCCGCCTCCGTACCACAGGGGGCAGGGAGGGTCAGATCTCCTGGTCCCCCATGGCCCGGGCTGGTTAGGGAAGGGGGACTCTCATGTTCTCTGAGGAGGGCGCCAACAAGGGGACACAATCCTCCAGGCTCTAGGAAGACCCCTTCCTCCCCAACCCTGAGAGAGAGGAGGCTTCTGGGGCAGCCAGGCCTGGCCCAAAACAGGAAACCAAGAGGGGAAGCTTTCCAGCCCCAGAGCTGCCAACCAGAGCAGGGGAAGTGGGTCAGCCTCCTGTGACATAGCCAGAGGCCCTGCAGTGGCTAAAATGAGTGACACGAGGCTAGGGGCGGACAGGAAGTCAGCCGGGGCCCCAGTGGTCAGCCTGAGAGCTACTCACTCCCACCATGCTCCCTGCAGGCCGCTGGACCCAGGAGCTGGGCGGACCTCTGCTTTCCACCTGCACGTTAGGGCGCTGGCCGGGCCTCTTCACAGGATGCCCAGCTCTCACTCCTCCCGTCCCGGGGAGTGGTCCGCCCCACGAAGGAGGTGCAGGTTCATGGAAGGGGAACCTGGTCAGAGGAAGGCTTCTGCCCCTCCCCCTCCAGCAGAGCGTGGCTGGTGCTGTGGGAGCCCCTGCCTTGCATAGAGTCTATGAGGAACGGGCCTCCACACCTGGAGAACCCCCATGGTCAGGAGTCAGGTGCTGAAAGCCCAGGTCTCTGAGACAAGCTCCAGCCTCCCATCAGGGAGCTGTGACACTGGGGAGGCTTTCCCTGACAGCCACGGTCCTTCCTCCCCACTGTGGAAGGTCAGGTGGCTGAGTTCAGGTGTCCCCTCCTACAAGCATCTTCCTGGAACCTGAGGACCAAGGCTGACTCAATGTCTCCCTCTTGGGGGCCCCCACTCACCGCCGCCTCCTCCTCTCCCTGGTCCTAGCTGCAAGTTTTTGGATCTGAACTCCTGTCAAACAAGGTGCTTCCTCCTGTGCCTCCTCTCCCACAGCTGCCTGCTGCTGCTCTCGCGATCCTGGCTTCCCACATCTTCCAGGAAGCCCTCCCTGGCTGGGAGACCGGGTTAAGAACCTCCTCAATGCCCCCAGCTGCCCTCTGTTATAGGATCTGCCTCATTTCATTGTAACTGCAGGTTGACCTGCCTGTCTCCCCATCTACACTGTGAAGTCCATGGACTTGTCTAGTTTCTCATCCCTGGGCCCCCAAGCACAGCCCAGGACCAGTATAAGGTTGGCCCCAGCAAATGTCAAAAGTGCTGAATTACTATGTCCACCCTTGAGGCCACAACCTAATAAGCCACTTCCTCCTGCTGATCCTCACTCAGCCTTCGGCTCATGAAAGACCAATATAGACAAGAATACAATACTCAAAGATTTCCCCTAACTTCCCAGGTTTGTATTTTCTCCCCACAGCTAAGATTTGAATGGGCCACCACAGCCCCTGCCCAGCCCAGAGAGGCAGGAATCCCAGTGGACTAGTATTCTGATAAGTATAAACTCCTCCCTGCAGCCCCTTTACACATTTGAGGAAACTAAGGTTCAGAATAAGGCAAGCGCCTGCCCAGAATCACACAGAAGATCAAGCCAGAGCTGGGACCAGAAACGGGCTCCCAGCCTGCAATCCTTTCCCCCGACACCATGGCCATCTCGGACCCGTGCCAGCACCCGCCCATCCCAGCCAGCTCTCAGGACCTTTACCATCCAGGACAGAGGGGCCACAGAGCTTGGCAGGAAGCTCCCGGTGACATCACTGAGCATCTCTCATCTCTCCCAGCTGAGGAAACCCTCCTCTCCTCCTGGGAATTGCCCCCCTCCCTGTTCTGCAAGGGGGTTCACCTTCAAGGTGAGGAGCACATCCAAGTCCCCAAGGGGGCAAGGATTTCCACTGGAAATGCTGATGCTCAGGGAGCTCCAGCAGTGACCTCATCCCCTGGAGGAGGTGACAACAACCCCTGCCTTGGGGAGCAGCTCCATAATGGGTCCCCCAGCAGCCTCCAAGTCAACAATAACATCCTGTTGCTTAATTGGACAAGGGAGAAGCAGAGCCGGCTAGGCAGGTAGAGACTGAAGACGGATGTTTCTCATGGGGACAGGCTGACTCACCTCTGACCCCAGGGGGTCAGGACCTTCCTGGGCTTGTCTGTCTCCTCTGACAGAGGATGGAATGGGGACTATACACAGCTCCCACGGGCATGCCAGCCTCCTGCCTCCCCAGTAACCCACTCCTCTCGGGCCCCTGCTTGCAGGGAAGTCAGGCCATTACACCCTTGATTGGCCCGTGTGTCAGTGACAGCCCTCAGCGGACAACCTCCAGAGCCCTTCAAGCTCTGGCAAGTTCTGATGGTCAGAGACAGGTGTGGAGCTCAAGGGCACCCAGCAGTGCGGGCACATCCCTCTACGCGCCCAGAGTAGACTGCAGAAGCCTCAGCCTCCCTAGACAAGTGGAGGCTGGGACCCTCCCAGGACACCCTGATCTAACATTTCCCTAGGTTATAGGGAACCAAGAAGCAGAAAATAAGTGACAAAGAAGGATTGTCGGAAAAGTCATAACATATTTTTCTGGTTTTTGTTGCAAAAATGCGTCATGACTTTTCCGACAGCCCAATAGTTGTTATCCTGAAGGCCACCCTCACTGCCCCCACCACTGGTGACAGGGACCTAGGCCTATACTACAGCAAGGCTGGGAGGGTGGTCCTCTCACCCCACTCTTAGGTTTGCCCTGCCCAAACCCATTCCTATCCGATTGCCATGTGTCACCCCACAGGAAATAGAAGGCAGCTGTCATCCAGGCATACCATCACCAGCTGGTGGTCCTGGGGGACAGGCAGATGCCAGGGTCTGTCTGGCCAGTGGGGTGCCTGGCACTAGTGAAGAAGACTAGAGACTGCCCTTGGACAAGACAGGTGAGGGGTTGGCGGACCCCAGCGGGGGTCACTGGTGTCTTACCAAGCAGAGGGCACAGCCAGCATGGCAGCAGGAGTGACCGCACGCAGGCGAAAGAGGTGGAGCTGGGCTTTGAAAGTGGGTACAAGAACTGCAGCTTTAAACAGCCTCAGGGTGGAGACTAAGTGCCCGAGTCAGGGAGGTACACATTAAGGGCTAGAAATGGTATGCATTAAGTATGTGGGGGAGAGGTCTTGGGAAGGCTTGTGGGGTGGGGGCAAGCAGAACCACATGCAAGGGGTTTGGTGCAGGGGGGGACTCTAGAACACTCAGATATGGCCATTTGTCCCCTTCAGGGGGCCCCAATGTTGTGCTGTCCAGGACAGCCAAGGGGTGGAGACATGGCAAAGATGCTGGGAAGGCAGCAGAAGCCTGGCTGGAGGTGTGCACCTCATGTGGGCTGCTAGAGGCCCAGCTGCCCTGCTCCACTCCCACCAGGAATACCTGGGGCTGGGTAACAGAGTTGGTCCCCAAAGTCCCTCCTTCAAGGCCGAGAAACTGCCTAAATCCTTCTCCCCTCCCTCACCCAATACTAGCACTGGTCCTGTGCCAGATCTGAGCCATGTCTGCACTGTGAGCTCACACACTGCCCAGTGACCTTGGGAGAGTCACATCCCCTCCCTCCAGTGTAGCTGCAGTTCAGGCCACTGGTTTTGTGTGGGTTCCTTCTCTCTCTCTCTCTCTCTCTCTCTCTCTCTCTCTCTCTCTCTGCTAAGAATACCTNTTCAGGCCACTGGTTTTGTGTGGGTTCCTTCCCTCTCTCTCTCTCTCTCTCTCTCTCTCTCTCTCTCTCTCTGCTAAGAATACCTGCCCCAGATATGCTCAGGCTCTGGCAATCCCTGCAAACCGCCTCAGGCATCAAAGGGCTCCCGGCAGGGACAAGACAAGTCCCCCCAACCCCCACCGCGAGTCCACGACCACCACAGGGGGCTG